TTCCTTTCTGCCCCTGAATGATTTTCACTGATTTCCCCACATCTCCCAGTGGGTCCCAGTATGTGGCTGCCCACCTCCTGAACCTGGTCCTGCCTGAGGTCTCTTCCTGTAAAAAGGGATTTCTTCCCTCCCATTGTCACCAGCTCACAGGGCTCTGTTACAGAAAAATGTGAAATAATAATAATAAAAAAACTACTACTAGATACAGGTGCAGACTGAAGTAAAGGTTCTTTGGTTGGAGCTGGAAAACATTACTATACCTGGATTAGGGAGCAGTTGTGGCGACATCACCTGACATACACCATAGGGACATTTTTATGGTTGCTTGAGGTGTTCATGAAAAAGCTTCAGTTGTGTGATCATGTAACAGTTCAGTTTGAGAGGAGTGTAAAACAGAGGACAACGTCTCAATAGAGCCCTCAGATTGAAAACTTCACTCATGGATGTGGGAATCCAATCCAGTGGGATTGGCATTGAGCAGGCTAAATAAGGATGGATTGTATGCCTCCAGCCTAATTGTTTGTTAGCCCACTGTGGAGTGGATCCACCACCTAAATTTAAAATGACAGACCCCCCACTAAACACACATACAGGTACACACACTTCTGTCTGCTATCTTCTACTTTCACATTTCGTATTTTATGTCTGTCACATAAGAAACAAAAGCTTCTCATTTGAGGAAGCTAAAGTAACCTGTGCATAGTTCTGCATCACCCCCACACCTACACCCTACAACTGCTGAGGTTGTGCTGGCAAACTCATTTTTATTTAGTTTTTTACACACGTTTTACACTATTGAGTGTGCTTCAGCCACCGCTCTGCTATCCGAACCTCTCACGCCTCCTCTGGGTCCTGGAGCTGCTTTGATAGGGGACAGATGGTTAGAGTAATGACCCCATCGCTCCTCTGCTGCTGAGAAACAGACCACACCCACCACAAAATGTTAACACAGATTTATATGTATTTTCATGCTGAGGGCGATCTCAGTGATGTGTTTATTTCTGACATGACAGCTACACTTCTGACTTCTGAAACCTCAAACTGGACCTCAGACTTTGGAGTGGCTGAATCCTTGAATCGATCCCTTTCAGCTATGTCTCTCTGTCTGTTGTCAGCACATGTAGGGACAGTGCACAGCGACCCTTCGACCATCCCATCAGTGTGTTGGACCACCAGGTAAATGGCGGGCATGCCAGATTACCAGTCCAGCCCTGTGCAGCAGTGAGCTGAATACGTTAGTTTCATTCCATCAGCCTTAAAACGTTGACCTTCACCCAAAGATCAAGCACTCCTAAGAATCAGTCTTTCCAAAAAGACTCACTAACTGAACAAAATGACTCTTTTTCAACTTAATTCACCACTTGCCCACCTTCAAATGATCTCTGTCCCTCTCTGTGTTTTGCTCCTTCACATGGATGTGATTGCTTTTAGTACCTTCTCTTTACTCTCATCTTCCCCTGGTTAATCCCTCAGTCAAGGCCACCCGTCTCTCCTTTAAGGCTTTCAAGTCTTAACAAGCCAATTAGGAGACTTGATTTTTTTTCTTGCATCCACCCGGCCACAATACCTCGCTTTCTCTTTTTTTCTTTTTTCTCTTTCGCTTTCTCTTTTTCAATCTTCTTTTTTAGCCCAGTCTTTAGTCTATTTTCACGATGATTGTTTAGAATTCCCTCCACTCTTCAACAGTAATTCCTCCAATCTTCTTTCCTTGTGTTCTTTTACCTTCACATAGTCTTCAAACATTGGCCTTCTTTGTATTACTGCAGAGCATGTTTATTTGTTTTAATGACGAGGATTAAAGAAAATGAAAAGTTATTCTTTCCACGGAAGATGGTCAGCATTTTATAATAATGCTTGAGCTAAAATGTCTTAAAAGGCACAAAAAAACAACAGTTCAAGTAATATAAACTGACTGACCTCTACATATTCATCCACCCAAGTTCTTCATGTCCTGCTTAGTGTTAAAAAGAGGTACAATATTATCCCAAATGTCACTGGACAAGCAGTGTACACCCTGAATGGCTGTCAGACCAACACATGGCTTACACGGAGCCTACATAGGTACCTGTGCTGCATCCACACATACGAGGGTTTTTTCCTTATTCTGTAAATATCTTGACCAAATGACAGAAATGGTTTTAGTGGAGCCGTCGCTATCAACAAG